TTTTTTTTGTCGCTGCCCCCACCATCTGGGTCTAGTTGGGTACATCTTCTCCTTAATTAAGAACGACCATGCTCGAAACCAACTAGACTCATTCAGAGTGATGGCTTACTGAAGACATGGGAATATTCTTAAAATGAAGTGAAAGTGATCTCGAACCAGCTTTATCTCATTGAAGAGGTAGCGCTACAGAGAAGACAGATGCTATGTACAGTATTTACAGGTTCATTGTACCTAAGGACTAAGACCCTAAACAGTGAGCGACAACAGCCGGGATTCGAACTCCCAACCTCTTAGTTCAGAGGCAGGATCGCTAACCACCGGACTACGCACGCTACAAATGGGATATTCACGTTAAGGGCACAACATCGGGTCCTCTTGATTCTGTTGTAAAGACTGTATAAGTAGCATGACGTCGACAAGTACGCTGTGCAAGAGCTTTAGTCAGGTTTAAACTAGTACAGGTCTGTCCTTGGTGCTGAAAGCATAGACAAAGTGCTTTTCCGGGTTTATTCGTGTAACCTGTAACCTAGTTTAAGTGACCTTCGTTTCGGATCTTGTTTTATGTGATGGCCATTGAATAAAGAAAAGCATCTTATGATGTAGTGTGACGTGAAACACAAAGATGCGGCAACTGTGCCGTCAAAAAGATAAGATAGATAAGAATTGCAGATAGGTTGGCTACGCATACCTTTCTATACAAAGATGTAGGTTACAAGGTCCCGTAGATTGCTGAGCAGGGTCTTTCTTTTGTGGTTGTATATAATGGGCAGTACATAATGCTGAGGTCACATTTTCAAACCGAGGCCCGGCCGGGCTGTTTCAATTAACGAAAAATCAACAATTTATATCAATAATATACACAAATACTTCCCATTAATAATTTTTTGAATTTTTTTTGTGCCTTGTTGTCTTTTATATCATACTTTTCGTTCCATATAAGACTGCCCGGCCGGGCCCCGGTTTGGAAATGTGACCTCAGCATAAGAAATCAAATGTACGACGCTTTCGCAGCGGCTACAGCAGATACAGGCTAAACTAAGGACTAAGACTTGCGTGCGAATAAGCTTTTATTAAAACTACAGGCGCGGAGTCGTGTTAGAAGGGCGCAGGTGTACCTTGGCAGTGACTAAAATGTGGGTTAAGAGAGGGACGTACTAAGTTGACTAAGTGTTTCTTTAACAATAAAAAGATAAGAAGTGATCGAACGGCTACTTCGAGATCGTTCCATATCCAGTGATGCGTCGAATCAAGCCTGTTTCGAGCATATGCTTGATCTTTCTGACGTAGGTAGAAGAGATATAGATCCCGTTACAGGCAAATTACTGTAACCTAGTTCGGGCACCATTATATAAAAAAGAAGAGCATCTCATGACGTAGTGTGACGTGGAACATTATGATGCGGCAACAGCGCCGTTAGATAAGATAGAATTGCAGACAGTAAAGGCTTCAGAAAAACAGGAGCAACTCTTTGATGAGTACAGTTGTCTGACGACTTTCTGTTACCATTGAATAAGAAGAAGAGTATTTCAGGTGACGTGAAACACCAAGATGCGGCAACTGCGCCTTCAGATAGATAAAGACTGCAGATAGTACATGTAAAAGGCTTCAGAAGAAACCAGAGGAGTCACTCTCTGATGAATACAGTTGTCTGGCGTGAGTCTGTATCTGTATATGTATAGCCGGTATAACCGCCCTTCGGCCTAACACACCAGCTTCGCAGGCACGCGGCGCGGCGGCAGCTGGCTACATTCCACCGAACAACTTGTTTCGTCGATTAAGGTTAGACAACCAGGTAATAGGATACGCCAAAAAACAGTTACTCAAACAACGACTTGTTTGTGTCGTCGCCAAATTTAAAAAAAAACGGACCATGAATATGACAGAGGTTTTTACGGAAGCGACCAACGTTACAGCATGGTTCTTCTGGACGACTGACACACCTGTACCTGTACCGACGTCGACGTCAGGTGTCCTGGCGGCGTGCACGCTGACGGCGCCGACGCGCTGCGGCATCTACGGCGCCGCGCCGTCCCTCCAGCCGCTGCTGATCGTCATCTGGCTCGGCTTCCTGCTCTGGTCGCTCTTCGGGAACGGCTGTCTGCTGGCCGCCATGGGCACCACGATGGACATGGAGGTATCTGTATATGTCTGTCTGTCTGTCTGTCTGTATCTGTGTATCAGTATAGCCTGAGGTATCTGTATCTGTACCTGTACCCGTATCTGTATCTGCAACCGTATCCGTATCTGTATCCGTATCTGTACCGTATCTGAGTGTGTACCTTCATCTGTACCTGTACCTGCTATATTGGGTTCAGGATTTCATTTGTATTTAATTTTGAAGGTTGTAGAAAAGGGTTGATCTTTGTTTAGTTTAATTTTTGCACTCCATGTGGCTCTTTTTGGCCCATACGAAAATCTCCTAGCCACAGTCAAGAAACGAAAATTGAAGTGGTATGGCCATATGATCTAGTCATCAGGACTAACATAAACGACGCTAACAATCCAAGGAAGAAGAAAGAGCGATAGGCAGCGGAAAAGATGGGAGATTATATCAAAGAATGAACCGGCACGACACACTAAATGAAACGTTAAGAGAACAGAGAACCAAACAGGGCGGCAAAAACTAGTTTTCAGATCTTCTCTGGTGCACCTGCGGTCAATAAACTTTCAGATAATTAGACTAAGGAATAGTTAAGATGAGAAGAAAGAACGGTAGGCAACCGGTAAGATAGAAGGCCTTGATCTAAGATAATATCATACCGGTACGACACTAAACGAAACGTTAGAAAGAAAATAAAACCGAGAAGGTGGACAAAACAAGTTTTCAGATCTTCTCCGGTGCACCTGCGGTCAATAAACTTTCAGATAATTAGACTAAGGAATAGTTAAGATGAGAAGAGTAGTTCTTTACCCAAGAGGCTCATCCGTCAATACTGCTGGCTTTGAACCTGACAGGGTAGAAATACTTTAAGCTGCCAACACGGAAGACTGCGTCTAGGTAGAATATGTGTACGTAACTGCTTCTTAAAGTTCTTGTGCCATAATGTACTAGCAACTGATTTAATGTCCGGTCTAACTGACTACGGTCATTGTTGTTGCGTATCGCACACAGTTTAAAGACGTGGTTTTGTTTTCATTTTCTGACACATAAAAACATTACAAAATGAAGATGATTTGATGCTAAATTCTGAAGACATCTACAGTGAATGTGTGATATCGTGAGAGTTGGTCCGATTCTAATACCGATCTTGCACATCGATGTTATGACGTGTAACAAAAACAAGGTAGCACAAGAGTGTAATGGAATGCATATGGACCCAATCCCTTTGCCTATTTTCCCTCTGTTGATAACATTTTGTTATGAAAAAAATGTGTGACAGGTACATTTATCAGGGTATAGCCTAGCTTCCTTGTGTTGAACCAATTAACCTACAAATCGGCACAGACAACAAATCATGTTAAATGCTCATATTTCCAATCAAAAAGTTTGCAGGGGTCAGTTGATTCTGCTGTCGCAAATGAGTACATGAGTAAATAATTATGCGTTTGTTGGCTAGCCTTCTGGTTGCGGCTATTTTGGGCCAGGCATACATATGGAAAAGAGGACTCAAGCCTCAGACAAATTACTTCAGACGCTGCATGGGAAGGCACGATAACCAATATGCATTGAATTGTCGTCAATCACGACCTATTTTCTTCAGTTTATTCAAAATCAACTTGGAGTACAAAACACATGTACATGAAATAATAAGTTGATATTTACAATTCTGTAGTGCACATTAATCACAAACAGGCTACAAAGGCTTTTTATTGGCGTCATAATAATCATCATATGACATCCGGAGTTGGTGGGAAAGTAGATTTCAGCAGCAAGTGGCCGTGTTTAATAGAAACACGCAGTAATACAACATGGAGCATGTGGCGTCATTTGAAAAGCATGTATAGTACTTTGGCCTATTTTCACCACCGTATTTTTAGACATATTCACGAGACTGGTACTTGTACTGGAGGGAGTGACCATTGGAGCGGGTTGGAACTAAAAGGAATCTAATTATTCTGCCATCCCGGCCCGTCCTCTTACTGACAGAATTCTGCTGCTGGCGCTTTGAAAAAAGGCTGTCACTCTTACATGTCAAATTGGTGGATTTACTTTGCTAGATGATGTTGGTTATGAAAAGTAGGAAGCGAATTTTGGGTCATGGCTGATTCGAATTATACTTTCGAAGAGGTAGATGGATGTTTTAATGTAGTGCATTGGGAACTGCGACACAAAAGTTTGTCTGTACGTTTCGCAAGCTTTCAGCACCAAGGACAGGCCTGTTTTAGTACAGACCCCTGCTGCTATATGTAGATAATTTTACAAAAGGATTCAGTCCAGAGGGGAAGCATGCACAGCCATTTTTATTTTTATTTATTTTTTATTTTTATTTATAGAAATTGCAACAGTGCAATACACACGGAACAGAGGCAGCTGTTGCTGGTGTTGTGTCCCGCACATAGAAACGAATACAGGACATACTCACTTTCACTTGAGTCTAGTAGGGAAAGTCGTGTAAAGTGCCTTTCCCAAGGGCACAAGATCGGTGGCATGTCGGGACTCGAACCCGGGACCTCTTGATTCCTTGATTGGGCGGACTGAAGCTAAAAGGAATCAATGGAATCATTCTGCCAGTTGCAAATGTACTCAACTGCCCTTTCATCATAATTGGCCTCTTGTTGTTGTGTTATTATGTATCGATTCTGCTACTTAGTCTTCAAGTTAATTTTCTGTAAGTGTGGTGTTTGTAAATCGATCAGCAACGATAAATGGACGACAGTGTATGGCCTTTTTTGATGGGACAACCAAACAAAAGTAGAGACCATGGTTGATTAAGATTAGGAGTACACCAAACTACATATAAACCAACCATTCTTTTTAGTTTACATGGACGAACCATCAGCGTACCATCTCTTGTCACGTGGTGTTTCTGAAGTGGGACATCAACACTGGGTCAAAGGTATCTGGTAGACAGATTCTTGTTAGTGGACCATGACTCTGACTTCTACGTTTGATTTTGTTTTTAATTTCAGGAACGTGGGAACTACTTCCTGGCCGGAATGACCGTGGCGGACATCCTACTGGCTGTAGTCCACGCTCCTACGTCTATCTCCTCCCTGGTATCCTAGTAAATAGATTCTTGTATTGCAACTGGACAATGATTAGCTTTTACGTTTGATTTTTTTAATTGTAGGAACGTGGAAACTACTTCCTCGCCGGAATGGCTGTGGCGGACATCCTACTGGCTGTAGTCCACGCTCCAGCCTCCATCTCCTCTCTAGTTTCGGGGGAACCGATGACAGAAGGATGGTGCAAGCTCCAGGCCTTCCTCTCACCCGGAGCATTCAACCTCTCCATGAGCTTCATGACGGGTTAGTTCAGGAGGAGAAACCTGAAAAAACTCGTGTCGTAGCACACCCCTTACATACTTTTTTTTTTATTCCAACATGTAATCACCAGACGTAGTACGGCACACTGAAGTTTTTTTCAACTTATATTAATGCCGCCACCAACACGGGACAAATACATGACAGGACAATACTCATTTACACCTGAGCGAAGTGAGGAAAGCCGGTGACATGTTAGGACTAGAACCCGGGACCTCTTGGTTCCGAGTCAAGCACGCTGCCGCTACGCCACACGACCCCACGATACCTTACATACTTTGGCCAGTAACATAGAATGACACCCTAATGTTCCCTGTATAAGTACTATGTTCCAGGTAGGACACCTTGTTTCTAGGGCTCTTTATGCAAATTTCTGCAAATTAAGCAAACGAGCCATGAATTGAAAAGTTTTTCATTTTCTGACTATAGAAAATGGCTGGCGTGTTTCCATGACAACCGTTGCTAAGGAAAATATACTTTCATAGCAACTGACAGGCTTAGAGGCTTAAACAGCCTAAAGAGGCTTATACAGTAAAAATGAATTAAATCAATTTATTTATGTAACACTTGATGCAGGCCTGTGGTACTGCCGCTATCGCTACATTGTCCACCCTCTGACGTACCAGGCCACCGTGACGTCACGCCGCATAGCCGTCGCCATGGCAACGAGCGTCGTCGTCAGCTTCCTGCCTCCCGCCATCTACGTGCTGCGTCACAGCAGCGGCGGCGGAGCCACGTCGCTCAGCCTCGCCCGGCCCACCGGCCTCACCATCCCGTGTAACGTCGGTGGTCTGTATCTGCACATGTATCTGTATATCTATATCTATATCTATATCTGTGTCATTCTGCATCTGTATATCTGTACCAGTATAGTCTGGACATTTTTCTTCACCCACTGTAGGTTTCTTTTAATTTCCGTGACACTAGCACCCCTTTCATAGTTGTTCGTGCAAAATCTTGCAACTTCTATACCCTTTCGAGTTTACCTTTGTCTTTCTTTGTATATGGATCCCATACTGTCGCGGCATAGTCTCGGGTTGGTCGTACAAATGACGTGTATGATGCAAGTGATTTTAATCTAGTTGGAGATGACCACAAATTACTCCCAATGTCTGTTTAGCCTTGGTGTCTGAGCTGGTATTAGGTTGGTACTAAGTAGTTCCTGCATCCCCCAGGTCTGGAGCGGCTGGTGAACCTGGTGATCGACATTCTGCAGTTCGGGGTCTGCACCTTCTGTATCGTGCGCGTCCTGTTCGAGGCACGGAAACATCGCGTGCAGATCGCCAACCAGGTACAGTTTTCAATTTCATATGTTTATATAAATTTATTTGCAAATTCATGCCCGAGGGCTAATTGCAACATGACGCAATGTATACTGGTAGAGCAGCTGGTAGAGAGGGCCTAGGACCGCACTAGTCCGGAGGGACCTAGTCTGTGGCATATGCCCAAGGAGGGACAGTAGGTCCAAGTAAGTACAATGTATACAACATACAGACAGTGCCATGGTGATAAGTGGAAAGGTGACAATATGTTTTCCATAGGACAGCAGAGATGGGACCTTTTCAACAAAATTGCAGATGTTCTTAGCCATCTGCTATTAGCTTGAGGCTAGCTGACAATTTCAAACTACATCTTTTATTTAGGGGATCTCTGTTGGTACATTATGATGACAATTTTAAAATCTTACTACTAATACACACACGCACACACACACACACACACACACACACACACACACACACACACAAAGAAAGAGAGAGAGGAGAGAGAGAGACAAACACACTAATACAATTTTTATATGTGTATGTGTATGTGTATGTGTATGTGTTTGTGTATGTGGCGTTATAGAATAAGTTGTACTTGAGTGTAACACCACATTGTCTTTGCCCAATGTTGATAAACAAAAACAGGTTCCGGCCATCGCCTGGGCGGAGCAAGCCAACGCCTGGAAGGCCCAGATGAAGATCGTCTACACGCATCTCATCACGGTCGGCGTCAACTGCCTGACGTGGCTGCCTATCCTCGCTATCGGCAGCATGCTGGCCGCAGGTAAGTCCCAATTTTATTATGTGTTGGAAGATAAAGTTTAACCATTCATCATAATGAAGTAAAGTTTTAACGGAATTTGTGGGAAACTTCTGAAATTCTGGACTCAGAACCGGATTTTCTTTGCGAGAGGAATAAAGGAGGCGGTGTACATTCGGGGAAACCGTCCAAACACTGAACAGAGACGGGGGTGACACAGGTTATCTGACACGTATGCCCCTCTGCTACAATCACGTGTGTCCAACGTCACGTCCCGGAAGCTGCAGAAGACGGGTCCATTCCGTGAAGAAAATTTGTTTAAGTCCCAATTTTATTATGTGTTGGAAGATGAAATTTAGCCATGTGTCATAATGAAGTACACCAATACAGATGAACTTTCACGGGGGCCATTTTCGTAATCAGGCCTTCTTAGTGTTCGTAGTCCGTAAGCAGCCTCCCAAAAATCAACGTAATTCGTAATAGTACATTAGTCACAAAGCGTAAAGTCGTAATCAGCTCTGAGACTTTAACGTAATTCGTAATTGGCGGCGAAACTTCTGCGTAATTCGTAGTCACTACCCCCCCCCCCATAAAGGCAGTGCTAACAGTCATTCATTGATTGATTGATTCCTTCCTTCCTGCAGGCACGCTGATCCTGAACGACTCTGTGTCCATCTGGCTGGAGGTGTTCTGGATGGTGAACCAGACCTCCACCTTCTCCGACTCCGTGGTCTTCGCCTTCCGGTACGAGATCTACCGGAAAGCGCTCAGGCAGCTGGTCAGGAAAATCCGGCAGATCATCGAGGAGTACCAGTACGACTAAATTCCTCCCTAAAATGCTCCCAACAAGATTCACCAAGACACAAATGTCCCTGAAGTAATAACAGAATTTGCAAGACACTAAACTGGACTACTTCATGAGAGTTCTACCGGAAAGCGCTCAGGCAGCTGGTCAGGAAGATCCGGCAGATCATTGAGGAGTATCAGTACGACTAAAGTAAGCCAGTAGAATATACTGTACAAGATTCACCAAGACACAAACCTCCGTAAAGTTGTAAGAGTCTTGTGGAGTCAAAGAGCCAGACACTGATTCACCAAGATACAAACCTCCGTAAAGTTGTAAGAGTGTTGTAGAGTCAAAGAGCCAAACACTGATCTACCGGAAAGCGCTGAGGCAGCTGGTCAGGAAGATCCGGCAGATCATCGAAGAATATCAGTACGACTAGTAACATAGTCTAAACTATAAACACACCACAAGATTCACCAAGACACAAACTTCCGTGAAGTTCTAACAGAATTTGTGCTAGACACTGGACAAGACTACTTCTTGAAAGATCTACCGGAAGGCCCTGGACTGGGCGATTCGGCAGCTCATCATTGACGAGTATCAGTATTTGTGGAGTCAAAGTACCGGACACTGAACAGGACTACTTCATGAGAGGATCTACCGAAAAGATCTGGCTGCTCATCTGGCTGCTCATCAACGAGTAGCAGTACGAATGAGTTCTCAGTTAAAAAAGTAATCTAGAAATGGGAAAATGATTCAATCCTCGTGAGTGATTTTTAGCTACCTAAATTATGTATATTATGTAATTAGGATACTAGTAGTTATTTACTGCTTCTATGGGGGACAGAGCACGTAGCTAAACTGAGTTGATAAAACCAAAGAGACAGTTGCGCTGCGACCACGATACATGTGATGTAGCTAGAATGTCATACACGGCTTAGGGATGTGTGGGGGTTGTTATATTCACGTCATAATTGTTATTTTAGTACCAATTCTCCATTTTGGTGGATAAGGTGGATTAGAATAGCAGCATGTTGGCGTGTTGAACAGACATACACCGTAATCCAATATGGTACAGGAGACGTCACATGTGCAGCCTACGTGACTCTCAGAACCAGGGACATCTGTTGATCTAGTATTCAGTACCAAGGACAGATATGAATATTCGTGTATGATACAGTCGTGAGAATACATTTGTGGCAAAAGGACGCATCTGACGTGTGATATTTCAAACCTGGTGGTACCAGGGACATCTGTACTGTTGATCTAGTATTCAGTACCAAGGACAGATATGAATATTCGTGTACAGTGATGCAGTCGTAAGAATACATTTGTGGCAAAGGAAGCATCTGACATGTGATAGTTGAAACCTGGTGGTACCAGGGACATCTATACTGTTGATCTAGTATCCAGTACCAAGGACAGATGTGAATATTCGTGTTTGATACAGTCGTGAGAATACATTTGTGGCAAAAGGACGCATCTGACATGTGATAGTTGAAACCTGGTGGTACCAGGGACATCTGTACTGTTGATCTACTATTCAGTACCAAGGACAGATATGAATATTCGTGTACAGTGATACAGTCGTGAGAATACATTTGTGGCTAAGGACGCATCTGACGTGTGATATTTGAAACCTGGTGGTACTAGGGACATCTGTACTTTTGATCGAGTATCCAGTGCAAAGGACAGATATGAATATTCGTGTTTGATACAGCCGTGATAATACATTTGTGGTAGAGGACGCATCTGATGTGTGATATTTCAAACCTCGCGGTACTTCGCCCAGCATTTCAGCACCTGGGACAGGCCCCAACGTGCGGTGGAGCTATGGAAACCTCTCGTTTTACGTCACGGAGTAAAACGTTAACGTTATACTGTGTGAGGGATCGACGTAGCCTCTAGACTTATCATGTGTCGTAATGCAATGTGATGTAGAACATTATGTTTCTTTTATTTGGGCCATTATATATCAGGAATGTGTAATCATTTCAAAGAGCCATTTGGGGTTTAGTATTTCCTTCGTGTGGGTCGATTAGCCTGGAGAGTGGCTAGTCACACAATTTCTCAGTGTCGGGGCTAATTACGTCTCCTCTGAGGGCCTGACTAGTCAGACTAGTGGTAGGACTGCTAGAAGCGTGATGCAGTCAGGTTAGGAGCTAAGGTTAGTGACTGTGTGGTTCGGGCTTACCCTAAGGGAAGCAGAGACTATAGCCTGTGATAGAGCTGGCTGGTGGAACCTGACGGAGGGTAGCAAGGGGTCAGTACCTGGCCTGTGCATATAGGCAGGCAGGCAGGCAGGCAGGCAGGTTCGGGATTCACAGAAACAAACCATGAATACGACGGATGTCTTCACCGAGGCTACCTACGACGCCACGACGTGGTTCGAATTCTACGGGACGTCAGCCTCACCTGTGCCGACGTCGACGTCAGGTGTCCTGGCGGCGTGCACGCTGACGGCGCCGACGCGCTGCGGCATCTACGGCGCCGCGCCGTCCCTCCAGCCGCTGCTGATCGTCATCTGGCTCGGCTTCCTGCTCTGGTCGCTCTTCGGGAACGGCTGTCTGCTGGCCGCCATGGGGACTACCATGGACATGGAGGTATCTGTATATGTAACACACCAGCTTCTGTATCTGTATCTTCATCTGTATCTGTGTCTGTGTATGTATAGCCGGTATAACCGCTCTTCGGGAACGGCTGTCTGCTGGCCGCCATGGGGACTACTATGGACATGGAGGTGGGGCCATTGTGTCTCTTTTTTATTTCATTTTCGGTTCGTCTTGTCGTAGCCAGAACCGTGCCTATCTAGTTCTAAATGGGTTAGGATCAGACAAGGTTCTGGATAGTCTCTACCGTATCCAGAACCTTACCCATCTCGTTTTATCCTTCCTGGCCGTTATATTGTCTCTATTTTACTCACTTTATTTCTAAAAGGATTTATAAACAGCAGGATCGAACCGTTCGTTTTGTAGTAGCCAGAACCGTTCCTATCTAGGTTTGTGCCCGAATGGGTTAAGGTTAGGATCACACACGGTTCTGCATCGTCTCTATCGTGTCCAGAACCGTGCCTATCTCGTTCTATGCCTGAATGGGTTTGTGTAAGTATCTCATACACGGTTCTGGAAAGTTTATACGCGTATCCAAGAACGTAGGTTTGGCCCCAGGTACGGTTCGGAATAGGTGTGGACAACTAGTGCATGGGCACGGTTCTGGATACAACGGCTCTCTATTATTCTCTCTATTCTAAATTTTGTACCATATGAGGCAACCATAAAGTACGTTCCTGTTGATATTATTTGACCTATTTTTCATGATGTTTTTGTTTTCCTGTTGGCGAAGTCTCGATGAATATGGAAAGGACAGAGGTCCAGCTCCAGACAATCAGTCTGCGGCCGTGCCATTATTCATGCGTGACACAGATGATGATGGGGTCGCCAACAGGACAATTTACTGTACGATAAAAATAGCTAAAATAGGACATGCACGTAGCACTAATAATAAAGAGAATGAACGTTTAACACACTACTCAACTGGATGCAGTGCCTGCACAAGCTGTGTTGCCCAGAAACTATATTGCTATAGTTATGCACCACATTGTGTGGGGAGGACTATAGGACGACGAGAAAAGAGTTATACTGTTCGATAAAAATAGGGCACCCAGTGCTTATACTAAAGAATATGGAGGTTTAATACACGACACTACTAGATACAGACTGATAATCTCCAAGCAGATCCTAGGGTGGCAAAAGTATCAGATTGGCCAGGCAGTATCCATTGGCCAGAGAGGGCCTTGCGTGGCATATTGGACCCTCTCTGGCCAATGGATACTGCCTGGCCAATTTGATACTGTCTTTTGTCACCCTAGGATCTGCTTGAAGATTAGCAGACTGAGTGTTTGCGCAAGTTGTGTGGCCCAAGGGCTATAGGAACGGAGATGGGCGCCGCCCTATTCGCCACATCATGTGGGGGGACGACTGTATGGCCACGATGAAAGAGTTGCCACATAGTGGCCAACCAGACTTCTCTGTACGGGTAACTCGAGCTCTTAAGGTAGTTTCACTCTATCTGCCCATTTAACCACTTAAACAGACGTGTGGGTCTATGAGCCTTCTTAGCGAGGCACACGAAACCGACTGCAAAGCCATTAGAAACGAAAACACATTTAAGCCCGCCAAACCCCAACTCGGAGAGTCTGCTTTTCCGATTGCTTCCATGTGTTTTGCTCATCACCATCACAAATCACCAGGTCTAGGTGGCGACAAGCAAACGATACGCGTCTTAAAATTGCAAAGCCTTGTGATCCCAGGAAGTTCCCCACTCTATTTGTAAATGTCGCTCCTTCAAAAGACATTAGCCACTGAGGGGGTGGATTGTGTTACGGCTAAGTACAGCACTGGGGGTCGGAGTGACTTTTAGCTGGTAATGCCAGAGTTCCCAAACTAATTTCCTCCCGTCATTTGCCGTCTGCGAATGTTGGGTTCAAGGCGCTCGTGAGAATTCGTTCGCAGAACTCGTAAACGTTTATCTAGTCTCCACCAGACTCCTTTGCAGGATGAATAAATAGTAGAAATCGGCTAAGAGGTACAACATTGGACAGAGGAGTTGGCCGGCCATAGAGGGTCCACCTTGCCTGCACAGATTATCATTTTGCATAACAAAAACTGTTTGTTGTAAAACAGGTGGCGTATATCATCACTTGACCGGGACGGGGGGTGATACAGACTGCTATGGACCTTTGACAGACGACAGTTATGTTACAGCGATTTCAGTTACTACTATTCGTCTTGTGATAGATCAAAAGGAGAAATATCCGATGGGTGGACCGAAATTTCTTGCAAGCAAACGTAATGTCAAAGCAGATCCTACGGTGGCTAATGGTCACTACTTTGGCCAATGGTTGCAGCCTTGCTACCGTAGGGTCTAGCCTGGTTACCAAACCTATTATAGCTCCCGAGTCCTACATACTACATTTGCGGAGAGGATGTAGGACTCGGGAGCTATAAGAGGTTTGGTAACCGGCCTACGTCGTAGGATCTGCTTGGAGATAAAGGAAAAGGATTCCAATATCAATGACCGAATTTTTGTGTATTGCCTGATGTAGGAACGTGGGAACTACTTCCTAAGCGGGATCGCGATGGCAGACATCCTCCTGGCTGTAGTCCACGCTCCTGCCTCCATCTCTTCTCTAGTGTCAGGCGAGCTCATGGCGGAAGGATGGTGCAGACTGCAGGCCGTCCTGTCTCCTGGTCTCTTCAACCTCTCCATGAGCTTCATGACGGGTTAGTCACACCCCTTTCATACTTGGTAATCTCCAAGCAGATCCTAGGGTGGCATAAGACAGTATCAAATTGGCCAGGCAGTATCCATTGACCAGAGAGGGTCCAATACGCCACCCTCGGGACCCTCTCTGGCCAATGGATACTGCCTGTTTTTGTTCTGTTTCCTCCTCTTCGTCTCCAAACCAAAAAGGTCAATGACCTGAACCAGACGGCTATCACCATGGTAACTGGTGTTGAGTTACATCATGTTGCAATTTTATCATGAGCAGGAGGGATTTAGACTCCTGTCTGACCATGTATATGAATGTGTTTGAGTAAGAATTAACAGAGCAGACCATATGCGAAGGTAAACATTATGCATTTGCTTTGCAAATGTTACCTTTCTAGCTATATATAACAGTGAATTAAATCAATTTTTAATGGAACACTTGATGCAGGCCTGTGGTACTGCCGCTACCGCTACATCGTCCACCCTCTGACGTACCAGGCCACCGTGACGTCACGCCGCATCGCCGTCGCTATGGCAACGAGCGTCGCCATCAGCTTCCTGCCTCCCGCCATCTTCGTGTTACGTCATCACCGTGACGTCACGGCCGTGGTGGGGCTGGCCTACCCTCCCGTGCTGACCATACCCTGCAACGTGGGGGGTCCCGAGCGCCTGATTAACTTGGTAATTGTCAAGTCAATCTTAATTGCACAACATTTGTAACGGGTACAATGCATGGCAAGCTCTTCAGTACTACATATCTAGCTAACATCTACTCTCACGTCTACAGTAATGCTTACAGGTTCTATGTATCGAAAATAACATTATACTATTTCAAAAAGGAAACTAATATAGTACATGTAACGTTATGGACCATGGTTTACATGATAATGCACATGTCTTGAGTTCTACATGACTATAAACTAGGGTGTACATCAGTTGGTTGAGTCGGATATGATATGATTTTTCTTCACTAAAGCGTTGGATATATACTGGCCTATGTGCAGGTTATCGACATCGTGCTGTTCGGCGTGTGCACGCTCTGCATCGTCAGCGTGCTGATGGAGGCACGGAAACACCGTGTCGACATCGCCAACCAGGTGACGATATATTATATATATACTTTATTATTAAGTGCTGTGTCGCTGTACAAAAAGTACTTACTTACTTACTTAGGCCTGCTGCCCATCCTTGGGCATAGGCCACGGACTAGATCCCTCCATCTGGGCTCTCTCCACCAGCACAAGAAAAGGGTACTGGGAATAAATGCCGGACAAGCCTAGTACTTGCTAAGTGCTTGCTTTCATCATTTGACAAAAGTATCCCATCTGTGTATTTTTTTTTCTTATACCTGCTCGACTACAGACTCTTTTAGTCACTGACGATAAATAGTGGATGCTACTTGAAACGTCTGTTTTCAAATCTATCCAATTGCTTGAGTTAAGTGTTTTCCTGTGTATCTCATTACCTGGATGTCTAACATTCATCGACGTTTCTTATCTTCCTTTGAAAAACAACCAGGTTCCAGCAATCGCCTGGGCGGAGCAGGCCAACGCCTGGCGGGTGCAGATCAAGCTGGTGTACACCCATCTGATGACACTGGGCGTGAACTGCCTGACCTGGCTGCCTATACTCGTCATAGGCAGTATGCTGACATCAGGCATGGCTTAGCGTGTACTCTTTTTTTCATTGTCCAACATGTAACACAATTGCGCCTCAATTCAGCGATTGTCGCTGCAATGGCATATAATCTGTTGTGTGACCTTATTATTATGTTTACCTTCACAGAAGGAAATCATACTGTTCTTGCTCTGTTTCTTGTACATCTTCTTCTCCAAACAAATGCGGTCAATAACCCGGACCAGACGTCTGTCACCATGGTAACTGGTGTTGGGTTACGTCATGTTCCAATTTTATAACAGGGGGGATTTAGACTCCTGTCTGACCATATATATGAATGTGTTTGAGCAAGAATTAACGGAGCAGACCATATGCAAAGGTACACATCATGCATTTTCTTTGCAAATGCTACCTTTCTAGTTGAAAAATGAACCATTCCTTCCTTCCTTCCTGCAGGCACGCTGATCCTGAACGACTCTGTGTCCATCTGGCTGGAGGTGTTCTGGATGGTGAACCAGACCTCCACCTTCTCCGACTCCGTGGTCTTCGCCTTCCGGTACGAGATCTACCGGAAAGCGCTCAAGCAGCTGGTTCGCAAGATCCGGCAGATCATCGACGAGTACCAGTACGATGATTAAACAGCCTCCGTAAAAAAAAGTCTAAACGAGATTCACCAAGACCACAAACGTCTGTGAAGTTCTAGCAGAATTTGTAAAATCAAAGTACTACACACTGAACAGGACTACTTTATGAGAAATCTACCAGAAGGCTTTCAAGCAGCCGGTCAGGAAGATCCGGCAGATCATCGACGAGTACCAATATGACGACTAAACTTCTAGCCGGAAAAGTGGGACTGGTCCAGAAGATTTGGCACATCATTGAAGAGTATGAGTACAACTAGACTTCTCCATGAAATAGTCCTGGGTCCGTTTGGTGGTAGAAAGGGTCTTGTAGAAATTGGACAGACAAGCAGGACAAAGTCACTGCACAGGACTACTTTGTGAGAGATCTTCTGGAATGCGCTGAGGCAGCTCGTGCAGATTCGGCTCATTGAGTATCAGTGCGACTAAACTCATCCACCTTCACACTGAAGCAGCCATTTGGCTACCAGTTATGGGGTTAGGCAGCAGGGAGAAGGTTAGAGAAGTCTCAACCAGCTAGACCGACTTGATGATTGAAAAAGTCATTAAGAAATTGGACAAGCAGAACAAAGTCAAAGTACTACACAGAAGCCCTACAGTAAGGCCGGTAGATGCCGCAGCTCGTCGGCAAGCTCATCAATACGACTAAACAGTCTTCGGTAACCTTCAGCAAACTGAATAAGCCATTGGCTACCAGTTCTCTATTGGTTACGGGGCTACACCGCAGGGAGAAGGTTAGAATAGTCTCAACCAGCTAGACCGACTTGGTGATTGAAAAAGGCATTAAGAAATTGGACAAGCAGAACAAAGTCAAAGTACTACACAGAAGTTCTACAGGAAGATGTGGCAGCTCATTGACGAGCTTACCAGCTAGACCCATTTGCTGATTAAAAAAAGCCATTTAAAGTCATTAAGAAATTGGACAAGCAGGACAAAGTAAATGTACACAGAAGATGTACAGGAAGGCCCTTCAGCTGCAGCTTATCGATGATTATCCGTACGACTGAAGTCCTTCTGTAAAACAGTCTCAGCTATATTGGCCCATTTGGTGGTTGTATTTAATTTACGTGTAACTTAATGATGTACACATTAGATGGATGTACACTTGAAGAAGCCACACAGGTGAAACCGGTCGTGTGACAGGCTGAATAAAAGTTCTAAATGGTAACTTTGCGGCTCCAGATGTCTGACTGAGGGACGACTGCGCGTGCAAGATGTCGGTAGCTTGAGGAATGAATCCCCTCTACTATATACTACATATTAGATGGATGTTTGTTTTCACTGTATGTTGTACATGCATAAGTCATAAGAAGTCCTGAAACATTAGTGATTAGTCTGAACGTTTTCTTTCCCATGTTTAATCTCATCAATAAGTGCTAACTTGTGAAATGTCGGTGGATCAAAAAGTAACATGAATAAATGTATCTCTTAAGCATTAACCTTACAGTTTGTAGTCTTTAAGACACTGTAGTTAAACTAGAAGAAGCAGCATTTAATCTTTAAATAGACTTTACCATATATGACGTTCAGTTAACCAATGTACATTGTATATTGCCAGTAACTTCCCATATTTTCAAATCAGGAATGCTTGCAGTTATCCATAGTATTTTTCGTGATAATAAGTAAGTTGAAATAAAGTTTAAGCACAAACTAAAAAGTTGAAATGTGTAACTATCTATATCAAGGATATTCTTTGTACACCTTACAGAAAATCTAGAATCAGATATTAAAGAGTATATTTACAACTGTTGAATGTACATCATTTACAAGTTTACATATACTTGACAATGCAGAGTATTTTCCTCTCACCTCACCACTTTCTAGCACGTCGGCAGAACGTACTGCACCTGCGCGAAAGTTCGAAACCCGTAATGTATTGTACATAGCACTTCGGCAGAATGTCTCATATAAGGTTGTATTCGCTCATATAAGGTTAGCATTTCGACAGTAGTTTCCAAATGTTATGTCGGAAAGAATATCCTCTGCAACAGGCAAAATTCTGATGCAACGTTGACCAAAAACCCAACGAAAAACGCGAAAATACGGGGTTCTGCGCAGGTGCAGTACGTTCTGCCGACGTGCTCCACTTTCTGAATCTAATTTATTTTTACACTTCTCATTCTAGCTCCTTTCGAAGAATTTTATTTATTTTTACACCATTTATTCTATCCCATTTCAAAGAAAAATCCTGACCACCAAGTCAAATATGTCAACAACAAACAAAATAAAAGTGGATACTATCTGAAACGTCTGCATTACATCATGGGACAATATATAACATGTAAACACATTGGCAGCACATGCTGCACATGGCAGAACCTGTAATGTATTGTGCAGAACACTTCAGTAGTATTTGAGGATGATATTCTGTCTGCATTGGGCAAAATTCTGATGCAGCGATGATCAAACATCCACCAAAAACCATGAAAAATCTGGGTTTCGTGCAGGCGCTGTACGTTCTGCCGATGAGCTTCACATAATTGTATATTATACAATGTATATTGTAGACAGATATGACTGACCCTTAGCTGCTAGTTAGCATAAAGAAACATTTCTGGCTGTAGAAGATTATCCCTAAGAAGGCACTGCCATGAGGAGGTTGATCTGGTCAGGGGAGGGGCAGGCGATGATCTGTTGGTCGTCTTCAGGGTAGTTCTCCACTACAATGTCATGGAGGTGCTGGAACGACGTCTGGACATTCATCTGAGTAAAAGGGTGAAAATAAGTGTCACATTGATAACAGACATATTATGTACACGTAATACAAAATAATCAAATAACTGTGAATAGATTTGTTGGGGAGTCAGAACTTTCAGAGAGTATTGGCTATCTTCTATCAGTGACTCAGAGAATGTCATCTGAGAAACGGTCAGAAATAATATGAACTAAGGTCTTCATTGTACGACATACTGTAGTACAAAATAAACTTAAGGTAGATGTATAGCCCATCTCTCTCTTTCCACTGCCTTTTACTGTACCTCCCCAACCAAAGTCAGTCACTCATTTTACTCCTGTATGTGTAGAGTGAGGAAAGTGGTGCAAAGTGCCTGTTCAAGGATACAACGTCTATTCAAAAAGCGAGTCATCAAATCCCTGAACCCTTGATCTGCTAGCCAAGCAACTTTGCTCTCAATGCCACATCAGTAACCTCCAGAAATACATTTAGTAAGACATTTTCATGTTGTTGCTCTCTCATCACTACCAGGCCCAAGTGTCCTTGGAAAAGGCACTTGACACCAATTTCCTCACTACATTCAGGTGGAAATTACTAAATGATCCAGAGATTACTACCAAGAGACCACTACATGCTATCAGTAGTATCAGTGAAGAGTGTATTTACATAGAAAGTGTCCCAAATTGCCCCAATTCTTACCTTGATGGGTTTGAAGAGTATAAACTCGGTGTCCTTGTTGGCTAGATACAAGGCCATGCTCTTCAGGATGGCTGGAAGTTGGCCCTTGATGTTTTTATATGTCTTAGTCACCAACTCATGGACTGTTTCTGTGGACAGAGGAAACCAAAATAAAGTGTTCATTATGTTTACTGAAGGAAAAAAATACTGTTTTTGCTCAGTTTCTTCCTCTTCTTCTTCTCCAAACAAATAGGGTCAATGACCTGAACCAGACGTCTGTCACCATGGTAACGAGTGTACATGTAGGGTTACATCATGTTGCAATTTGATAGCAGGAGGGATTTAGACTCCTGTCAACATATACATGATTGTGTTTGAGACCATATGCCAAGGTAAACATTATGCATTTGGTTTACAAATGTTACCTTTCTAGTTCTTTCTTCTTCTTTTTTGCAGGAGGCCACAATGCGTCAGGCTTTATACTGAGTATCACAGTTGTTCATCGGGTGTTTGTAGTTGTTCCATTATACAATGTAATATGAATTAAAACCAAGCAGATGTCAGGAGGGAAAGACAGGCGGAATAAAACACGTAGCTTTATCATACCTGCTCCAGCAAAAGGCTGTTGCCGCAAAGACACTTTCGGCCCTGAGTCTTCCTTGTTCATGTTTACTATAACATTTGCCTGTATGGGGAAAAGAAGAGCCTACATCAATACAAAAAAAAGTTATTTTCTGAAGATGTGCTTTTCTCCTGCACTGTGCATTAGTAATAATTGCCTTCTCTTGAGTGAATTTGAATTGGAAGGTTTATAACATTGCACTTAGTATGAACCTTGAAATCACGACTACAAAGTCCTTCAAATAATTCAAGTGGACACTTGGCTGCATTCTACTTAGTACCAGTAACACTTGGCCATGTCAATGACTTGTGTAATGTAAAATGCAATCACTTCAATTAGCCGAGAGAGGGCCTGTAACACTCCAGCAACTGAGTCTTGTTAACGTGATGTTATCAAGATTCTTGCGACTGCGCAGTTTGCAATCATAAACTCTCTCACCTTCCTAATCAAACTAAGTCACTTTTCCAATATTACATTATGACTTTGCCAACTCTGAAAATGCATTCCCATCCAGCTAGGCCCTAAAGAGTGACAATTGATAAATAGTTGACTCTTGTTAATGTTACCATGACGTCACTAGTGCTCTTACAATATTGCGCGGTTTTCAAATCAAATGACCATCACTTCTACATCACAACTTAACCAACTCTGAAGATGCATTGCCATCCAGAATAAGGCCCCTTCAGTTTAGAGACCTCGTTGAGTGTCACTGACATGACGTTGGCATGACGCGTGACTGTGCAGTTTACAATCAAAATTTCCAATTATGACTTTGCAAACTTTGAGAAAATCCATCAGCCTGAAGTGTCGTTGAGTATCTGAAACCTTGTTGATGAAGTCGGTGTGTTTTTCTAAAACCCGAGAATCATTACCCTTTCCTAATCACACTTTATAATTATTACATCACAACTTTGCGAACTATGAATATCCATCTGGCAGAGTTCTGAGGTGTTTTTGAGTGTTTAAACCATGACCTTACTGTGACTCTTGCGACTGCATTTTGCAATCAAACTCTCCATGCTAATCAAACTTTCCAATTATGACATCACCACTTTGCGAACTCTCAAAATCCATCTAGCAAGAGTTCTGAGGCATCATCGAGTCTTGTTACCATGACGTTACAGTGACTCTTGCGACCGCGCAGTTTGCGTCTCACCTTTTGGATGAAGTCATGTATTTTTTTCAATACCAGAACCAACAAATAAAACTGGCATCACAACTTTACCAACTCTGAAAATGCATTGCCATCCAGAATATGGCCCTTTCAGGCCCATTTAGAGCCCTCGTTGAGTGTCATTAACGTGACGTTACCATCACTCTTGTGCTTTTTCGCTCACCTTGTTGATGAAGTCAGTGAGAGGAGAGACGAAGCCCTTGACCACGTGCTGTATGAACTCTTCACACGTTCGCTTCAGCTGCCGATCAACCTCCCGCTTCGAGTCAACGTAATGTTCAACCACCTGGGGGGCACCCTGAAATTATAGCAGACATGTCATCACTAGGTTTGTGTTTTTTAAAAGGTAGTCCTTTAGCTATACTATAGGCTGATTGAGGCAGTAGGGGCAGTGGGTTGTTGATCCACTGTATCTAAGGTAAGGTATTGGAAGGTAGAGTCCATCCCTCTCCTTCCACTGCCTTTTACCTCCCCAACCAAAGTCAGGTACTCATTTTGCACCTGGGTGGAATGAGGAAAGTTTTGTTAAGTGCCTGTCTTTCTCAAAATCCACACGTCCGCTTCAGCTGGCAATCAACCCCCCGCTTCGAGTCAACGTAAATGCTCTACCACCTGGGGGGCACCCTGAAATTATAGCAGCCAGGTCATCACTATGTTGTACAAAAAGTAGTCTCATTTTACATCTGGGTGGAGTAAGGGAAGTTAAGCGCCTTTCCCAAAATTCACACTTCCAAGCCCACGTAATGTTGTACCACATGGGGGGCACCCTGGAATTATAACAGCCAAGTTATCACTATGATGAAACAACTTAGTCTAATACATTCATAATTATAATATGTAAAGAACTGTAATATCAATGTAAAAAATCAACAAAAATCAGGCATCTCATTTTGTATGGATACAATGTTTGATTCCAGTCAAACTGACAACCTATACAATGTAATTGATACATGTACATTCCTTAAAACATTCATTTTTACATTCCTCAATACAATGTCAATGCATTTACATTGTATTCAATGCATTTCTCTTGACCTCTTAGATTTCACAATTAAGGCAACTTTTTTTGCCCAACTTTCTGTTTTCCTTTGCACGCACACATCACTTTTGGGTTTCCCAGAGGATGTCATCCATATTATCCAAATCAACCAAATCAAATCAATCTGGCCTTAACAAAAATGTGGACAGTTGTTCCCACCTGCAGCAGAAACTCCAGCAGTGCGTTGTTTGTGCTGAAGGTGAAGAGTTTGGAGCGGTTGTGGAGCAGACCGAACGCAGCACCTGGGAACAACAAACAAACAAACAAACATCCAGTTAGACTTGGTGGAAGAGATATCACCGATCTACATGTATGTACAAAATGAATTCAATAATATTGTCACTCCCTTAATCAATAATATCGTAATTTCTAAGACAAAGAAAAATAGCTGTATGCCCCTCATAACCCAACATTCTGATGATCTTTTGACCTAAAAAAAGAATTAGCATCAGGGCTCGTGAGTGCGACTTAGATTTACCTGCTCCAAGTTCCACATAGAAAATGATGTACAGTTTGTATTTTTTTCTTGTCGAATTTGTGAAAGAAATGTTGACACCCCCCCCCCCCTCCACACATACACACACACAGTTAGGGGTCATAGCAGGGAACCTAACCAAAAGACATTGTACGTCCAGAGAACAATATTTTTCTGGTGGTGCGTCTAGATTTTTGCTGGTGCGCCCAATTGTACAGTGCTCCTAAGTCAAAAAGTTAGTCTGGAGCCCTGTAGCACATAAGATTTCCTTACTTTTGACAGTAGAAAAGTCTAGCGCCATCTCCTTGATGGCGAACTCTGCATGAAACGGAGTGATCTGTTCCCTCAGGATCAGCAGGTGTTTAATCAGGAACAGTTGTCCGTCCATCTCAGTCTGGGAATATACATGTAAGAGTGATAAAGTCATTTTCTAAAACTTCTCAATTCTAGTATCTGTCTACATGTACAGTAAAGTGATGTTCAACATTTAACATTCGCTTTCTAAACCTCCACTCGAGGGCACAAGCAAACAAAATAGTCTACGGGTATAACGCTATAAAAGGTGTTTGTTTGATCAGGAACAGTTGTCCGTCCATTTCAGTCTGGGAATGTAAAGTAAAAACGTCAAATAACACATCGTTTTTAAAAACTAATTTTCCCCCTTACTATACCCCAGTGACTTTTCTTCTGATTGTTGGGCAGCTTCTAGTTATTTGTTGTCTAGAATACTGCTAGTTGTTTCACCATAGACTGTATTAACTTGTTTGTTGAAATGCCGGAGCAACATGTACAAAATAACCATAAGTACTGTAATTTCTATCCTTGCAATTAAAGTTACTTAAGAGAGTAACTGGCACGGTTGTGGCAGCTCCCAATGTTGAGTCGTTCCATGCCAGGATAAAGGCCTGCCCACCCTAGCCCGGGACCTCAACCCCCCCCCCCCCTAACTTTGCCCCTGGTGGGGGTCGTGTTGGGGTTAACTCCTAATTCTAGTATCTGTCTAAATTCTATAAAGTGAACATTGTTCAACATTCAATATTCTAGAGTGTTGGCCTTCTGTCTGGAAATATACTTGACAACGTCAAATAACACATAGTTTTCCAAAACTCCTAAATTCTAAAATCTGTATAAATTTTGAATAAAAATGTAAAACATTCACCATTCTAGAGAATTGGCCTTCTGTCTGGAAATATAGGTGACAACGTCAAGCAACGTCATTTTCCAAACCTCGATTCAAGGGCAGTAAAAAATAAAACAGCCAAGATCTCACCTTAAGTTTTGCTATGGAGACACTTGCTACGATGAGAGACTGTACACAGGCTGCCAGTACCTCCTGGGACAGGCCCTGGAATATGGTTCTCTGGAAGAGAAAACAATCATTACATTTCAGCACAATACCTAAGTCGTAGGCCCACTACTGTTTAGTCAGATCTGATCTAATTGACACTGACGATGTTGGGATGGCAACAACTTTTTTTTGCCAATTGTAAAGAGGAATTTTATGGTCCTCATATGAAGGGCTTCTCCTCAAATCCCAGACTCACAGTATAACTTTGGTATACTATATAATAAGAAGAATACTATAAATCACTATATGCTCGCAGTACTTTTATATATATGACAGTTTTTGTCGTCACTTTTGAACTGCAAATTTATCATTACAGTGAAAAAATTATTTGCCGACATTCTTTTTGCTGCACCTGCCGCCACACAAATGTACAGTTCTGTGAACATGCCCATTTTTCCCCAACCACAAATATACTAAAACAGATTTACAGTAATACAATGTAAGGATGAATATAATATGAGATCAACTAAAAAGCAACAGTAACTAAGGAACACTATAGAGACTATGGCTTACATGTACATTGACGCAGCAGTATAGTTTGGAGAGCCATACGAGCGCAGTGGAAAGGGGGGTCTGTGTGCATGGTAGTGCACAAATGGTTCACATTGGGTTCACAACACTTACATCGACGCAGCGGTACAGTTTGGAGAGACAGACGAGCGCCCTGCGTACGGTCGGGTACCACATGCCATGGATGTCAGCTGGGGACAGAGACACGTTGTGGTTCGCCATGTCAAGCTCTGACCTCGGCTTGGCTGGAAAACATGGAAGTAAAGTCATATGTCGGTCATTCTTAGAACTGAGATTACTGTAGGTACTAAGATAAACTCAGAGCTTTGTAGTGAAGGTATGTTACAATAATATACACACTCAAGCAAACACAATGTTCAGACATTGTACATCTATTTTTGTACTTGGAGGAAGGTCCTAATTCAAACTTTGACACACAGAAACAGACACACAGCAATTCACAGCCTTTGGATAAATACCTGTTGACTATAGATCTCTTCGGTCACTAACGAAAGGTAGTGGATGCTACCTGAAATGTCTTGACAGTTTCAAAATTTATCCAGTTCCTTGAGAAACTTTTAGTACTTGGTACACATATATGTTACACTAAGAATCAGCAAAAAGACATCTTACAGCTCTGTGAACTCCTCTGACTTGTCTTCTAAGAATGAGTCACTGATGAAAGACAGTGGATCTCTCTGAAGTGTCAGACTCTTCAAAGAACTTTTTTGTGCTATGATTCGTACCTGGCAGTTCTATAGATTCCTCGTTGTTGACCTGTCCGTTGGTGTGTGACTGATCCTGAGTGTCATTAGCGAGCGGTACGTCGGTGAAGGCGTCCTGACCGTCCCTCCTACTGGACATGGAGGAGACTTCTTAACTGGTATGTTTTACTAAATAAAGAATCTACAACGTACCTGGTAGTTCTATAAACTGGTCATCATTGTTGATCTGACCATTGGAGTGACACTGGTCCTGAGTAACTGTTAGTGACTTCCTAATTGATGCCTTTAACTAAGAAACCCACAAGAAGACAAGTCATGTTGTACCTGGTGAATCTTTGGACTCCACTGTGTTGTGGTCTGAGATTGAGTCACTGAGTGATAGAAGGTACATGTGCCAGATGCTTTCTGAAACATCTGATCCAGTTGCCTGATTTATTTTGTTTGATTCGTACCTGGTAGTTCTATGGACTGTTCGTTGTTGACCTGTCCGTTGGAATGAGACTGGTCCTGAGTTTCGTTAGCGAGCGGCACGTCGGTGAAGGTGTCCTGACCGTCCCTCCCACTGGACATAGAGGAGACAGAACCTGTCTCACTTCTCCTCTGGGCCTCTTCCTCCTTCAGGCTACGTGCTATTCTCTGCAAGTAGGAAGAAAACATACCTCTCAAAATTCCCTTCTAAACACACTTCTGCACATTTTGAAAACTAAAAGGTAAGTCCTTGTATTTACTATTACGTCCATTGTAAGCCTGCATTGGTGTCTTTCAGGCTACACACTATTCTCTGGAAGTTACAACAAAAAAATGTTTTAAAACCCAATTTACTATAAGCCTAAAGGTCTTTATATTTAGAGTTACTTCCAGTGTGAATCTGCAGTGAGTGATGTCCCTTGTCAGTAGCTGAAGAAAGATGGTGGATGCCATCTGAAAGCTTCTACGTTTTACAACTTTTAAGTCGTGTGTATGTCCCTAAGCAAAGCTACATGTATGTACATGTACTCATTTTAATCTGAGTGAAGTGCAGATAGCTTGGTGCAAACTGTCTTTCCCAAGGTTACAACAATGCGGCCTGAACAGGACTTGAACCCAGAACCTTCAAATTGATTATGTATTAGTCAAAAACCCTAGCCACAAGGCTACCTTTTTGAGTTGAGCATAGCAATTCTTTTTGAAATGTCTAAATATCATGACCAAAAGCTTTGTCCAATTTCGTATTAAGACATAAGCAACATGATTCCCACCTCCATCATCTCTAGTTTATCCGGGTATGCCAGGTCCCCGGGTGCAGGGTTGTAGGACTGTATGTCAGTCTGTATGTAGATGTGCGCTCTGTACACCAGCCTTTCCTGTACATCCTCCAACATCTGCAGTGCTACTGTCTCAAATGCTCGCAGCTCATCAGCTAACAAAACAACAAGACAATCAGAGATGGCAGACTTCACCCCCTCCCCATAACTCTGTATGTCTGTCTGTATGTAGATGTGCGCTCTGTACACCAGTCTCTCCTGTACATCCTCCAACATCTGCAGTGCTACTGTCTCAAATGCTCGCAGCTCATCAGCTAACAAAACAACAAGACAATCAGAGATGGCAGACTTCACCCCCTCCCCATAACTCTGTGTGTCAGTCTGTATGTAGATGTGCGCTCTCCTGTACATCCTCCAACATCTGCAGTGCTACTGTCTCAAATGCTCGCAGCTCATCAGCTAAGGAAACAACAACAACATCAGAGATGGCAGACTTCACCCCCTCCCCATAACTCTGTATGTCAGTCTGTATGTAGATGTGCGCTCTGTACACCAGTCTTTCCTGTACATCCTCCAACATCTGCAGTGCTACTGTCTCAAACGCTCGCAGCTCATCAGCTAACAAAACAACAACAAGACAATCAGAGATGGCAGACTTCACCCCCTCCCCATAACTCTGTATGTCAGTCTGTATGTAGATGTGAGCCCTGTACACCAATCTCTCCTGTACATCCTCCAACATCTGCAGTGCTACTGTCTCAAATGCTCGCAGTTCATCAGCTAAGGAAATATAGTAACATCAAGAAAACTTCAAGACCTAAACTCATACTGTTTTGCAACTGTTCCAGTTCCTCCAGTTCCACAGAAAAAATTCCAGTGCACTAAGAATGTATGGCAATGCTGCCAACAATGAACATTGCAGAAACACATGCACAAGCACACACACACACGCATACACACATAAACTCAAATGCACACACACACACACAAACACACACACACACACACACACAACACACATACACACACACATTCACACACAAACACACATACACACAGACTTAGATGGCAAGCATAGAAAAAAAATTACAGTACTTACGGTTATTTTGTACATGTTCCTCCAGCATTTCAACCTTGAATAGCAGAAAAGAAAAACAAGAACTAAAGGTTCAAGAAATTATTCTAATTATTCTAAGACAGCAAAATAACAAGAAGTTCCCATATCAAGATTTCAAACAATTAGCACAAAAGACACAGTCTCAAATGTTTGAAATTGAACATCCAAATTGAGCCCTTTTATTTCTTTTGATATCCTCTAACTTAGGACATGGTACATGTCCATGATGTGGCCAGACTCACCCTGAGTATACTGCAGAGCTCTGACAGAGTTTCTAGATGCTGGATGTGGATAATGAGAGGCCTGAGGACATCATACAGACTGTTACACAGGCCCTCCAGGAGTACACTGGAGAAAGAACATACATTGTGGTTAGGGTTGTTTATGTGTAGAACTGTACAAAAATGTATGTAGATGTATTTTGATCTGTGACATGTTAGGGTTGTTAATGTGTAATGTGAATCTTAAGGTTCTTGGTTCAAATCTCTTGATGTAGATCAACATATATCTGGGACAATTTGCTGTGTAATGGTACCATGTAAAATCTGCACCTAAAAGCAAATTCTGGCAGAAGCCACTGGTTCTTGCATGTGTAGATTTGTAAGTTGTACTATGTAATTTTGATCTGTTATGTATTGTACCACGTTTGTTTCAAAAACTCTCCAGGAATGATACTAAGTAGCTATTGTATGTGAAGTTAGTGTATAAAAGCTAATGAAGAAATAATGTATCAAAGTATCCAAGCAGGCAGCAATGTTGTACTTCACTGTGTCCTTGGAAAGGCTATTTTCTCACTCTTATCTGAAAATGAGTATCTAGCTCCTGTTTAGGACATCCTCTCTAATAGGACGTAAAGCTGGAGTCCACATGTTTGAGGAGAGCCACAATTCCAGCACGTTATATAACCAACCAAATGTATCATTTCCTGGTGTACAACACCCGATGATGTTTCATTATTTCAGTCTAAGCCAGTGCTTTCAAGAGATTACATGAAGGTTAGCTCAGAGTGATAGTTCCTGTTCAAATGTCAGCCATGACAACATAACACCATTAAACACACACGTAATGCCACTCGATACAGATGCTGACATTTGAATTGAGGTCGGGAAACTAGAAACAGAACTGTGAGTGTGAAAAGTGAAGGTACTGCGGGACAGTGTTGCTTGAAATGTAGATTTGATTTGATTTATTGAAATTGCAACAGTACAATACACGTGGGGCACACGCAGCTGTTGCTGGTGTTGTGTCCCACACATAGAAAAAAATACAGGACAGACAATACTCATTTTCACTTGAAACCCAAATTTTCACAGTTTTTGCTGGATTTGTTTGGTCAACGTTGCATCAGAATTTTTCAAATTGTAGACGATATTTTTTTTTTTTTTAACGGTGTCGCTCAATGAGTGAAGTGAGGAAAATCGTGTAAAGTACCTTTCCCAAGGGTACAACATCACGGCGCATGTTCGGACTTGTTCGGGTACGACCCGGAATCGAACCCGGGTCTCCCCGTTTCACAGTCCTGTGATGTACCACTACACCACACGACGCCACCGGCTTATAACATTTGGAAACTACAGACGGAATGTTAACCTTATATACGCGGATACGACCTTATAATAGTTATATGAGGTACTCTGCCAAAGTGCTACGCACATAGATTATGGGTTTCGCACAAGTGCAGTACATTCTGCCAATGTGCCCAATCAGCCCATGTTGTGTAATACAGGCTAGAACTGTGCCATACTTACTCGAGTTTTGGAGTTTTCCTGCTGAAAAAGTGTGTGAAGTGTTAGATTGTAGAACTGTGCCATACTTACTCGAGTTTTGGAGTTTTCCTGCTGAAAAAGTGAGCGAAGAGCTGATGTTCGTCCTGACACACATGAACCATGAAGGCACAGCCGCTACGCACCTACAGGAACACAAAACAAATATATCAGCTACACATCTGTGAATAGTTTAATCAGGTTGGTATTAGTCAATGTTTAGGAATGCATCTACAGCAGTGACACCTGTGCTGCAGTGCAATGTGAACCAGTCAGAATTGCCCTGAGGAAGGTGACAGACGGTCACCGAAACATTGGCTGAATAAAAGGACTTGGGTGTAAAAAGAGTCTCTTTATTCATCAGCTACACATGTACACGTAATTGTAACTTACAGCATACATGTCAACAATGTTGGCTAGAAATGTGCAAAATACAACAGCTACTAATAGTTAAAAGTTAAGATTCCTCCCATACAATATAGTGTAACATTCAGCAACAGTGTAGGAATGGTAATTTCTATAACCCTTGGGCCACACAGGCCACTACACTTACATGTAACAGGCTTATGCAGTCCACTGCTATTGTTCAACTCTCAATACTCTTTCTCATAAGTGCTTCAGTAATAAGCAAGGAAAGTAGTATAGCTATGCACCTACCACAAAAATGCCAAGGGACATTGTAAAGCATTGGGCTACATGAAAAAATGTATTGGGTACACCCTGTACTATTTTAGCACCATATGTTTCCCACAAACAAAATTGCACAGTCCACGTTTAAACACTGGCCAGGATTAAAACGTGTGATATCCTCCGTACCAGAGCACAGTGGTCCCTGACGTGGTGTCCAGCCATCTCTGTAACTGCAGTTTGCACACTGGGCCCTAGGAGGAGCTGTCGCTGGTTGAAGTAACACTGGTGACAGTCATTCAGTAACTGCTGGTACCTGTACAGTCAGGAAGGATACGTAAGCCACAGGAAGAAAACAGTGGCCAAATATAGGGAGAAAGGCCACATATAGTCAAGGAGAAAACAATGGCAATGTATAGTCAGGAAGGCCATACATAGTAGTGTATATAGTAAAAAAGAAAATAAATTGAACATCACAAGTGAAAACAGCAAGCAGGACAGGTTACTGTCCAGCAAAAGAAAAAATCTTTTATGTTTAATATATTACTGAGTGGGAAACAATAGAGCCAACAAACTTTCTTTTACACAACAATGTACTCCACAACTTACTCAGGACTCCTGTCTATTCTGTCTTCAATCTGTTCCATTAGTAACTGTAAAACAGAAGTTGTTAAAAAAAAGTTCAAACATTTCAGTCCAGCAAATTTCCATTGTCCAAAACAATACATACTGTACAGATCAGAAGTTAAAACAAAACTAGACATGTAAACAGAGTGTAACATTTTCCGACAATTTTACTCCCTCTTAGTGTATTCTCAAGGAGAGTAACTCACCTTGACCCTTGGTGCGTTGGTTCTAAACTTGCCATAGTAAAGTGTGAAGGCATTGTCAGATGGTCCTTGGGAATCCTGGGAGGGACAGACATTTGGTCCAGGTCATTGACTTTATTTCTTTGACATGGAAGAAGAAACTGAGCAAAAACAATATGTTTTCCTTCTGCAAAGATACATGTAAATTACCTTGCCCTTAGGTTGCACCTGTTGTAACAGGTTAACTGTTGTAAGACCGAGCCCTTACCTTGCCCTTGGGTTGCACCTGCTGTAACAGGTTAACTGTTGTAAGACCGAGCCCTTACCTTGCCCTTGGGTTGCACCTGCTGTAACAGGTTAACTGTTGTAAGACCGAGCCCTTACCTTGCCCTTGGGTTGCACCTGCTGTAACAGGTTAACTGTTGTAAGCCCGAGCCCTTACCTTGCCCTTAGGTTGCACCTGCTGTGATGCCTGCTGTAACAGGTTGACCACGTAAGTCTTGATGAGGTTTAGAGCCTTGGACAGACACTGTCTGAACCTGGCCAGGTACACGTCACACTCTGCAAAGTCAGGCTGGGGACAGACAACAGACATAGTCAGTACACATTCCTTGTGCCAAGCATCCCAAAAACATTTGTAAAGTAAGTTACCTGGAAAACTGGTTATCTGCTGGGTTACATAATAATATATCTATCCAACACTTGAAACAGTGTCCAAGAGAGATCTTACAAATGTAAGTGTATGGGTTATGAAATCATCATCTTTGATTTTATATCCTCTCAGAAGCACAGGATACCTGCATAAGATACCTCAAGTCTAAATAAACACTGTTAACTGTTTATTCATGTTTCTGTCTGCAGTGAACTCCACAGCTAGGTGGCTTTATCAAATTGTTCAGTTATAGTCGCAGACCTGTAACTTAACCTCTGTAGCAGTACATGTACCTGATGGTACATTTAGGTACAAAGCCCTATATAGCCAGTCTAAGACAATAGTTATACAATTAATGACTGCTCCTTACATGGCTGTTGATGTAGGCCACACACTCGTCTATTCTGGACAGCATGGGGACAAACGAGTCACTGGTCACTGACATGGCAGGCGAGTTCAGCTTCTGTAGGGGATGGGGAAACATTGTCAGAAGAAAAACCACACAAAGATTTAAAGTACAACAGATGCACCTGTTGGATAAAGATTGCTAATCTTTTGGTGGCCGCAAAGACAACATGTATCAAATTGGCCAGGCTGTATCTGGGATCGCCTGGCCAATAATTTGATATTGTCTTTGTGGCCACCTGTCAACCGCCCTGGGTGGATAACTCTTGTGGACAGTTTAGTTGCCCCGACGGCAGGACAGACTGCTATGGGACCGGTGAGGTGAGAGGTGAGGTGAGGTCAGAAGCACATGTAACTTAACTTTATTATTTCTGTACTTGACAATAAGTATATATCATGTGACAACATTCTACATTAGGGCTGCATCTGTAATACTGTTTCTCAAAATCTTGAGGATTGATAGCAACTCTTAATAGGTTTTACTGGGTGAAAAAATGTTTCCTTACGGTGCTTATTCTCTCCAGCTCTGTGAAGTAGGATAACTTGTTGTTGATGCTCTCTGCAGCGTTCACCAGTTTGGTCTGAAAAAACAGCAAGTCAGAGAAGTTTACAGCTTAGTGACAAGAACACTTCAAATGCCATATTGCTCTAGGACAACCTTTTTCTTCTCCAAAAAATGGACACTGTCAGTGAGAAGTGGCCTAGGAAGATCATCACACTGGATGTGGAAGGCAAAAACCCGAAAAAAGAGATGGATTGACAGTGTAACTGTAAGGGAGGGCTTCCACCACCTTAATGTACACAGCGTTAACACACAGGACAGAGGTAAATGGTGATCTGCCATCAAGACTCAGCATCAGTGTGTTAATATGTATAACCCTCGGGAAACGTAGACTGCTGGTTACCAAACCTATTATAGCTCCCAATTCCTACAGCCTCTCGAGACTTGTGAGCTATAATAGGTTTGGTAACCAGGCTACGGTAGACGGGGAACAACAGATGATAAACCGGATAGTGAATGAGTGTGATTACCTGTTCCTGCAGCAGATGTTCACAGGCCTCGTGCAGGGCGTTAGTCTTGGTGGAGACAAAGATGTACTGTTTCTGTAGCTCCTGCAGGTGGTCTAAAGCCGAGCACACGTCACCGAGAACGTCGTCACATTCCTGTCTGTGCTGTTTGAGACGCTCTGCAGGGAACCTTAAGGAACAAGGAGAGTTGGAGACTTAGTGTCAAGGTGTTTGTGTTTCTGCAGCATTGTGTACCATAATGTTTAGAACAGTTGGCTCACTGGGCCTTTCTTCTGATCCATTTAAAGAGTGTCCTAACACTGATGAGGACACACAGGGATTTGGTGTTGCTGGTGTGCCAAGAAATGCAAAGTTGACACAAGCAGTTCTAAGAGAACAAAACCCTCACCTGTAACATGACTCCTCCTCCTCTTCTATCATGGACTCCACTTTAGTGAACCAGGAGAAGAACTGGGGACAACAGGGAAAAATTTTTGGTGTATGGAAAATAAATGAGATCATACATGTAGCTTTCATGGGTTTACACTTGTTTTACTGCTTCTAAAGCATTTTAATGGTAAACGATGGTAGCAGGCTTATAGAACTGGGGGTTTGGTGGTCTTCGACTGTCTTCTGATTAGCCCAGGTCTAAAAAAACAGGGGTAATTCAACCAGGCCGGCTATGTTGTCTATATGCAATCAGAAAATAGCACATAAAAGCTCCCAAAGACCATGAAGACCCCCAGTTTTTGGCATGCTGTGGGGGCTAGGTAATAACTGAACTATTCCAAGATAACATTTAAGATTTTGTCTTGAGAGATTGTGTAACACTGGCCATGGTTAGTTAATAAATACTCGTACCTTCTGTGCATTTTCTATTTTCTCCTCCTCCATCTGTAGTGAAGAGAAGCCCTTCAGGACAGCATCCTGGTCTCCCGTGCCTAGCCTGGCTCCCAGGCCGTGTAGGGCTGTTCTCTGGACATAACCTCCATCCTCCAGAGGCAGCTGGGATGGAAACACATAATAAAGTTAACATGGCCCTAGCCTGGCTCCCAGGCCATGTAGGGCCATCCTCTGGACATAACCTCCATCCTCCAGGGGCAGCTGGGATGGAAACACAAGTGTAAGAGTTAACATGGCCCTAGCCTGGCTCCCAGGCCGTGTAGGGCCATCCTCTGGACATAACCTCCATCCTCCAGGGGCAGCTGGGATGGAAACACAAGTGTAAGAGTTAACATAATTCTAGCCTGGCTCCCAGGCCATGTAGGGCTGTTCTCTAGCTGTACATACCATCCATCCTCCAGAGGCAACTAGAATGTAGAGGTCTACAATGATACATGACATTTGGGGGTGTAGCCGGGGCTTACATAACATCTTTGAGCCCCGGCAAAGATGAAGATGAAGATGACGCTTGCAGTTGCACAGTCTAGCCTGACTCCAAACCCATGTAGAAAGAAAACAAAGTTTTATTTACTAGTATTATTTTTTCTTACTACTAGCAAGTCTGACAACTGTTTTAAGACTCCTTTTTTTCCTAGAGTGCCCTGGGGCAAACAAAACAACTAACTCTGTACTGCTGTGATATCAACAAAGCGGGTATCCTTGAACAATAATTATCTCAAATACCATCTAACATATATATTTTTCTGGCATGCAAAAATTTACCATAAAACAAATGACAGACGATATGCAAACAAAATATGCACAGAAAAAAACTGTATAGCCTTTATAATAGAACTCTTAAAGGTTCTTCTTCCATTTCTGCCGTCTGACTTTACCCAAACGGTTGTCAGACAAGATTGTTTAGAAGAATATAATTTCAGTTTTCAGTCTAACAGGTTTGTAGAAACAGGTTAGTAAGATCCTGAGTTGCCTACGTGTATATCATACCTGTATGGGTAGCGGGCGCGTCTGTGCGTGTGCCGTCAGGTCCATGAAGCTGTCCCGCTGCCTCTCCGTGAGCTGGGCCGTCGGACCCTGCTTCCGATCCCACTCCCCGAGCTTCGAACTCAGGACTTTTGGACTCACCATCGCGCTAGAACTTCGCGCATTCGTGGCGGCGTCCGCCATGACAGTTCCTGAACAACTTGGACCAGTCCAATATAACCCGTAGGTGAAACTTTACCTCTTCTATACTTTTTATAAACTCCTTTCTTTTAAAAAATAACAATTTATCAACAAATTATAGTATCACTATACAAATTAGTTCACAAAAATTGTTCTTATCAGCTAGATTATGTTTTTGAAACTTTTATATTTAACCCCTTTATGATAGTTGGTTTCTGCCGGTTCCCACTATGCCCCGCGCGGGTTCGGTGACCTCGGCTGTCCGTCTGTGTGTTGGGATGTCCGTCATGTTTAGGAAGGCTGTGCGAGGGTTTCTTGGGCCTAGGAACAGGTAAAAACTGGCGACTTCTCTTTTATACCCTTCTGGGATCATTTGCAAAGGACTGTCCTTATGGTTGGGAGTCCTGGGCGTCGTAGAACTTGTTTTTGCTAGGTCCCGAATAAAGAATAGAGAGTGGGGAGGGGGGTAGTATGATGAAAGTTGTGCAACAAAATTACGTAACGTATATAGAACGTAACATATGTATTTAGCCAATCCCTGGCATATGTTGTTCATTATATATTGAGAGAACACAATATAATTATTATAATAGACAGATCAATTTACATATTTCACTGTTTTAATTTTTGCTGTTTATCAGATTATGGTGCAAAAATAATAATTAATTATGTGTGCAAGGAGATTTAAGTGGCCTCCTCGATATGTGTAATAAAAATTATGAAGTAGAGCTTCATCCATAACTAAAAGCTGTCATAATTTTGCAGGAATCTGTCATCTGTATATGACTAGTATATATACATGTACATGTATGTATGATACCATGGAGGTTTCTCTTTTACCTCCATGATGATACTATGAGTGTCAACAAATTTAGTTTCATCAAAATTAAGAATTTAAGCCTCCATTATTGTTGTATCTTACAGATTAAGTCTTCAGCAACAGTTTGGGTTCAGAAGAGCACCTAAGAAAGAAGATCCACAGACACTGAAGTCACAGCAGACCAAAGAAGTGGAAAGTTTTAGTGAGAAACATGCAGACCAGAGTCTACAGAAGAGTGGACTGTCTCCTGAGCTCAACTATCAGACATTAACGTCTGTCTCTTACAGGAGACTGTTCAAACCATTCTGCTTTGCTGTAGGGGTCAGTATGCATGTTGTCATTAAACTTAATGGCTTAAAGAGTTGTTAAGTGTTATAAAGCTCAGCTCATAGTCATACAGCTGTCTTGGTTATAAAATAATGATTATATTTACAGACCTTCTCAATTTTTTTTTGGCTAAAAACGAATAGCTAGTTCCAGTTAGAGTCGTTTTCTCAGATATAGGATGTAAAACCAGAGGTCCCATGTTTGAGGAAAACCACATGTACACCTTGAGCATGTAAAGAACCCACCACACTTAAGCCTATTGAAAGGAGTAGGCGATCAAACCTTAGAGGCTGGTGCCATGGATCTTGTATCAACTATACAAAACTGGTGTGTTATGCCTACAAAGCAGTTTACCCTATATATGAAATAAAACAGTTAACCACTGTTGTTTTTACTGTTCCCATTGCTAGTTCAGCGGTGTGAGTTTTGTTGGAGCGTCCATCTGGCAGTACAAGAACCTAGCTCCAGTTACAGATATTTTTTTAGATGATATATATTTACTGTACAAAACTGCCATGTTGTGGCTAAAAGTATGCAAAACCAAAGAGTTGACCACTGCTCTCTATGTTGTCCCCATTGCCAGTTCAGCGGTGTGAGTTTTGTGGGTGCATCCATCTGGCAGTATGAGAACCTTCGGCTGCTGACCCGCAGGCTGATCGGACTGGACGGGGACTTCTTCAGGGACAGAATACATCCACCTAAGGCTGGGCAATGGAGACGGGAGGTACGGAGATACATTTTACATAATAAACATTGTCTGGATTTGCTAGGTTTACCCTCCTAGAGGGTTTATGTTTACCTTTCTAGAACTTACATGTAGAAGGTAAGCATAAACAGAGGGTAAACATATTGTTTTTGCTCTGTTACTTCTTCTTCATCTTGTCCTGTTTCAAACAAAGAAGGTGAATGACCTGGACCAAATGGCTGTCACCATGGTAACTGGTGCTGTAGGAGACACTCTTTGGTGTTGGGTTACATTATAATGTAACAATTTGGCACAACAGTTGGAGGGGCTGGTCACCATGTACATGTATGATTGTATTTTAGTCAGAATAAAATGTGAGAGCAGTACTAGTACTAGTAGTAGTAGTAGTAGAGTGCATTTGATCTGTTTTCATCTCTTATTTTTACAGATTAATAAGTTTTGGCAAAATCTAACAGAAGGACAGAAGGTTGTTTCAGGTAAGGTTTATAGTACATGTAGTTCATGTAGAATATGAGTATACAGTAGTTTGTATAATTTGTATGTTTATCTCTTGCCTGCTGTTTGCTTAAGTGTGGAATTTGGTGATGTGTTTATCATATACACTTTCAAGTATACATGTATGTAAACCTATTGCTTGACAAGGCTGACATTGCTAAGTGTTTTAATAACTTTTTTCTGTCTTGTTGCAGTAATTATAGGTCTGAATGGTTTAGTGTACCTCCTATGGAGAATACCTGGAACTCAGGCCACCATGCTCAAGTATTTCACATCTAACATCGCTTCAAGTAAGTCTAGTACTGTTGAAAACACGGTTATGTTGCAACTTTGGCATCTGAACTGTAATATACTGCTTTATCTATAATCATAATGTTCAGTCCCCTCTCCGATACCATGTAATCAAGAGAGTACAAGAAATATGTTAACTTGAAGGACCCTGATTTGATTGATTGATTTGATTTATTGAAATTGCAACAGTGCAATATACGTGGAACAGAGGCAGCTGTTGCCAGTGTTGTGCCCCCTACATAGAAACAAATACAGAACTGGACAATACTCATTTTCACTTGAGTTAAGTGGGGAAAGTCATATAAAGTGCCTTTCCCAAGGGCACAAGATCGGTGGCATGTCAGGACTCGAGCCCGGGACCTCTTGGTTCCAAGTCGAGCACTCTGCCATTGCGCCACATGACCGGCCATTGATTGATTGACTGGTTCCCCCCACAGCTGCTATCTGCCTGCCCATGGTCCTGTCCACCTTTAGTCACTACTCCTTCCTGCACTACGCTGTCAACATGTACGTCCTGTGGTCATTCTCAACCAGCGCGGTCGCCATACTGGGCAAGGAGCAGTTCACAGCCTTCTACCTCACGGCAGGTTGGTATGCAGCTGCTCACATATACTGGTGTTACCTCTTTGAGATACTGGTGCAATGGCCAAGTGTTTGGTAGGTCTAGAGATCAATAACCAACCGAGCCATACCAAAGACTTTAAAAATGGAACATACTGCTTTCTCTGCTTAGCACTCAGTATTTGGGAAAGAGTATGGGAGTCAAACACACACCACTACCAGTGGGCTAGCCCCCTGCTGTAGTGACCTATGTGTATGGGAGTTGGGAGTAAGTTAAACACACACCACTACCAGTGGACTAGCCCCTTGCTGTAGTGATTGCACAACTGTGTGGCCCAAGGGCAACAGAATGGCCATGATGACATCCTTAATTATTTTATCTCTTCTGTCTGCAGTAATTTACATTTATGATTATATAAGTAGGTTTCTATGTGTAAAAAGCTTTATTCATTGGTACACTCAGTCACTCAGCATATCTTTGTTGTTACAACTGATAACAGGAGTGGTGTCCAACCTGGCCAGTTATGCAGCTAAAGTTGGGTTACAGAGGTTTGGACCTTCACTAGGGGCTGTGAGTACGCTTTTCTTAAACACTGGCAAGTTATCTTTGTAAACTCTTTCTGTTGTTGATGTTGAAGCCTGTGAAAAACCCTAGTTGTCATGGATACACAGCTGATATGCATATTTTTCTCTTCCATTTTGTAGTCAGGTGCCATCATGGGTGTCCTGGGTCTAGTGTGTACCCAGGTTCAGCTGACATGTGTTCTGTGTTTCCCTATAGTCAGGTGCCATCATGGGTGTCCTGGGTCTAGTGTGTACCCAGGTTCCAGAGGCACAGCTCGCGATTGTCTTCTTCCCATTTGTCACGTTTACAGCTGGGTCGGTGAGTATGCTGGTTTCTTGTGCCTGTATGCTTATGTTAGATCAGTACCTTTGACTGTATACAAATATCTGTGTTCATGTTTAAGGGTATCAAGAATAGTTTTACATGTATAAGAGTTGTTTTGAAGATTTTTTTATTTACTTTAGCCGCTCAAATTGACCTTAGACTTGAAAAGTTTAAGTTTGAACCCATATGGGAAACAATCACGTGGTAGCTTGTTCCATAGCGATGTTGTTCTAGGAAAGAAGCTTTCAGTGTGGCACTTCCTCCTTAAAGGTGTGGAGGAAGAAAGACATTGTATGACAGTTTAAAATGTCTTGAATCTTGTCCCCAGGCGATTAAGGTGATCATGGGCCTGGATGCAGCAGGAGTTCTGCTGGGCTGGAAGTTCTTTGACCACGCCGCACATCTGGGCGGAGCCTTGTGTGGCATGTAGGTGTTTTTCCTGTTGTTACTCATTTTCATTTGACTCATGATGACTTACACTTACATGAACTAAGTTATACTTAACAGTATAGGAGTATATAAGAACATGTAAGGGTTGCATGAAGTTTTTTTTAGTAAAGGATGGTACCTCAAGGCTGTAAAGCTGTATCATTCTGTTCTGAAGTACAAAAATGAATGCAAGAGAGCTGCAGTTGCTAAACTCTGTTGCTACACTAAGCAATATACAGGTGTAGGTTTAAGTCAGACAAGGTAAACTGGCATGCATGTACAATACTGGATCAAGCATCTAGCAGCCTCAGCCTTTGGAATACAGTTGTACCTGCTAGCAAATATAAAACCTACATGTTACTGTATCATTAAATCTCCTTTGTCCCCCCTCACAGTTGGTACATGCTGTATGGACACAAACAGATCTGGCAGAACAGAGAACCCGTCATGTCAGTTGTCTTTGGTTGTATAACATGCAGGCCTACCACACAGTTAAACCTGCCCAGTATTAAACCTACATTGTATTATCATGCCTTTTTTGTTCCCTGTTCCCAGTTGGTACATGCTGTATGGACACAAACAGATCTGGCAGAACAGAGAACCCATCATGAGGGCGTGGCACAAACTACGGGACCCCGCCCAGCCTCCACCTAAATCATGAACATCCAATGTCTGACATAATGTGGAGATTTTACTAACCTCTAACAGGCTTTGGGAGGCGGCTGGAATGAGTAGAAATTGGCCAAATAGACATGTAGCATGCCAGGGGAGTTGGTCTGCACTAAGAGCATAGTTTGCCACTCCACATAGTGTTGCATATCATCATTCTGTCTACTTGGCCAGTTTCTACTTCTACCAGGCTTCAGGAAGTGGCTGAAAAGAGTAGAAATTGGCTAAGTAAACAGATGATATGCCAGGGGAGTTGGTCTGCACCAAGAGCATAATTTGCTGCTCCCTTAGCAAACTGTACTGTACTCTTAGTGCAGACCAACTCCCCTGGCATATCATCTATTGTCTATGTCTATTTGGCCAGTTTCTACTCTTTCCAGCCACTTCCTGAAGCCTGTTAGAGGCTAAGATTTTACCTCTCATGTTAGTGTACACATACAGGAGCTGTGTGGAACCATGTTGGTTGTCCCTGATTGTAGGCATGTCGGCAGAACGTACTGCACCTGGGCAAAACCAGTTATGTATAGCACTTCAGCAGAACGTGTCACCATAAAGTGGTTGTTATAGCTAGCCAGGTGGTCGGCTTGAAGAGGGGAGGATTGAGTGTAGCCTGGTATCAAGCCTTGTACAGCTTTTGTAGGGGAATGATCATTGGCACATAATTGGGAAGCAAATTTGCCCAGTGTATTAGCCATGTTTGGTTGTTGTCTATATGTAAGCCTTGTCCTGCAGAGCCCATACACACGTATATATAGGTTGCACATACAGTACCATCGTATATAGCACCCTGTATGTGCACGACTTGGGGGCATCACAACACAGTGAAATGCAACAAATGTGGAAGTAACTACGTCACCACAGGGCAAAAAAAAGTCAAGGGTCTGTGACCTGATTAAGACATCAAATTATTTGAAAATATTGAATGTGCAGAAATGGCAGCAGGACAAGGGTTAAGGTAATGTGCATGGAAAGGTATAATGTTTGGTAAGGGGATGTCACAACCAAATAAATCTCAACATGTGTAACAAGTGTCTACGAATTTGTAATGGCAAGTGAAACCTTTCTCAGAGACAAGTGGTTTTTGATTATTAGATTCATAATGATAACATTATTGCAGCAGTGCTACATTTTTTCCTTAATTCATTTAATGAATCAAACATGTAAAGCTATAACTTAGGTATCTCATTGACAAAGATTTAATTTATGTTGTTTCATGTTATTTCTGTACCTAAAGTAGAGAAAGTGTTGTTTTTATCAAATGAAATTATACCAGTCATCAAATAGTGAACTGTTATTTTGCTTTGTTTACTCTCAATTACAAATTAAACTGGAAAAATGTGTTTCTGCTACGTTAAAGTAGTACTTACTTAAAAATACAGTCTCAAAAGTACCAAGAACAGAGGAAAACATATTCACAGTCAATGTACATTTTCATAATTATGTTATAACAGCAATCGTTTCAGTTTCAGTTTATTTAAGAATCGACTGGCATGTCACACAATCATATGGTACATGAAATATGTCGAATTTTCACAAACACTGCACGTATCAAGGACTATCCAATAAGTTAAAATGACAGAGATATAATATTAAAATCTGGTCATTGATCATCAATTTACAGAATACATATACATGTAATACAATCGTAATAATTAAAAGAGCCATATTTACAGACTTTTTATATAAAATCAATATACCACTATGTAGAATGCTGAGATAAAATCTTCAAAGCCCGTGGTATAAACGACAGTTCATGACGTTTCGTTCTACTGAATGCGGAGCGTGACTGTTTCCTTCGTCTTAAGTTATATGTGCTTTGAGGCGCTACACATATAAAGTCATGCAGGGGGTTGTCAGTGTCATTCAAGACATGTTGGATAGTTCTCAATGTGGCAAGGTCTCGTCTCATAGACAGAGAAGGCAGGGATGCAGCAGGGATTCCTATAATTCTACAGCAACGCTTCTGGACATTTTCAAGCATGTCTGACAGATACTTAGGCAGTCCTTCCCATACTGGACTCGCATATTCTAACAAAGGGATGAATACCAGATCGATAGATACGAATGAGAATATCAGTTGCTAGACCAGCCTTCTTTGCTATGGTTAGATAGTACATTCTCGGACGAGCTTTTGACAACATATAATGGATGTGTGCGTCCCAGGTCAGATCAGACGTAATAAAGACACCCAGTAGTTTGAAACATGTGACCCGCTGAATCTCTTGACCGGCTATTGTTGGATGAGGTGGATTGGGAACATTTTCCTTTTTCCTAGCACTAATTACCATATCTTTGGTTTTCTTCGCATTCACTGTAAGCGAGAAACCTTCACCCCATTCAACAACAGAATTCAGAGCCCTTTGGGATTGCCCAGGTAGAGACCCCATCAGTATTTCTGAGTTGGTCAGGTCATCAGCGTATTTGACAGGGGTTACAGACTGTGACATACATACATCCAATGAGTTGATACATATTACAAACAACAAGGGGGATAGCAGTCCCCCCTGGGGAACACCTGACAGTACAGAATGAGGTTTAGAGAGACAACTACCCCCATTTTACTCTCTGTGTTCTACCTTCTAGGTAGCTACTGATTATTTGCCATAATGGCTGTCTGATACCCATGTCCACCAAGGTTGACAGGAGCCGTCTATGATTGATGGTATCAAAGGCACGACTAAAGTGACATCGTCACCGTCAAGTATGATTCTAAATTGCCTGATATCCAGTCTGATCGTGGTCGGGGCCGAAAGAGCTCTGTCCCGCCCTCCTCACTTAGGTTTCCCGGTGTGTATTTCACGAGAGATTGATTAGCCCTCCACTATCGTGTTGGGGGAAACCAAATCCCCAAGCATACTGTCTCTGATTAGCGTAACACTCCTTCCGGGATGGCCTGTTGCACTGGGCGGGGGAAGCTATTAGAGCCCTCGAAGGCACAACCTGCCTGAACACCCCAATACCCCCAATCACGTAAGACTGGATACCAGGTATGATTCTAAAACAAATTAAATTCACCTACTATTTTCTGACATTGAGTGTATGTTGCAATTGAATATTTTGTGTATTTACCACCATAGTTAAAAGTGGCTACTGTTATAAGTCAACCATCTTCAGATGTTTCAGGACATTGAGTTTATATGCCTCCATAGCTTTTATTACTAGTAGTATGCACAAGCCTCGCTACAGCTTGGTCAGTCTAAAAAGGAAAAAAAAAAGACCAGAGAACTTTATTGTGTTGGATCAAAAGTTTTAACACACAACACCATCTCTGTCCCCCTTGTCCCGGCAGCTCGATGCTCCCGCCGCACTAATCACGCTTTAAAGCTGCAGACCATCGCGAGTAAGAACAACTATTACAGGCTCTCGTTCTTCCCTCGCACCATCAAGGAGTGGAATGAACTTGAGCCCAGTGTGGCGGAGGCGAAGTCCATCTCCCAGTTCAAAGCTGAGCTGGGGCGGGCTTCGCTGCATTGAGCTGTCTCCCTGTCCTTGTACATATGTAAATATGTGTAATACTAGCATCATTGATTTCACTTGTCCTGTCCTGGCACTTGTCTACGCCCACCCCTACCCTACCCTTTGTTTGCACACAGTCACTAATCTGCACAGCTGCTAATAATCCTCTTCTTAGAGGGATGAGCAGTATCGAAGATGATGATGAACACCAATAGCTTGTATGTTATTTTGTACTTTGTTGCTTAGCAAATGTTACCTTTCTAGTTTGTTGTTGTCTTGCCGCCCTGAAGTTACATGTACATTGGATGATTCTAACCCGGAGGACGTTGGCACAAGTACAGGTGTTTATGGCAGCAATGATCATCGTCCCACAGAGGATGACCAGCAGAACCCGACCAGTACATTACACATGTAACCGGAGGTCTGGCGGTACTCGGCTCTCCAGGATTCCATCTCTGAACGTAAAACAAGGGACCTTTAAAAAGTGCACGCTTATTGAAATGCGCGAAGAAAGAATATACGTTGTACGTTGATATTAAGCCTCATCATCATGCCTCCGGATTATACTAATCCGGTGAGGTACACTTGATAAAGTTACTCCAGTATGTCCTATCTCTCATAGCGGACACTAATGCAGGCCCTGCGAGACAAGTGTCTCTCTCTAGCATAGACAAAAGTGTACTATAAGGACGTCCCACTCTACGTCTCCCAGTAGGAAGCCACGGTACTAATCTACCAGCTGGTTCGTTTATACTACGAACAACATGCCCTGCCGGGGCAAGTCTACGTCGTCGGACTACAGATGAAATGGGCGGGAGAGAGCCATAGAGTTGTTTGTTTGTTAGATGTTGTCTCCATGAAACATTATACACTGTTCTTAACATTATTAAGCCTGGTTTGGCGAATAATCTACTCTTCAATTCATGTCTGAACATTTTCGTCTTTTTCGTTTGATTTTGGCATTCTACGACATTGATATCGTTTTCCAATCTTTTTTTTTTTGCAACATACGGTATATATTTGCTTATTTTGCAACTTTTTTGTACGATTTACAGTGTGGTCGAAAACGTCTTTTTTTTTAAACGGCCGAAAATTCATGCGCGCGCGGATGTCATCCACATAATCAAATAAACATGACCAAATCAAATCAAAATGACCTAAGGCCACACTAATTTAATTTCTTGGTTGACGGATTCGCCCGATTCATTTTTGCAAAAAAAAAAATCAGAATCACCTGCAAAATGCTCATATTTTGCCCTGAACAGTTGAAAACAGTCCTTTTCTTCCTAGTTGTTACAGTTATTCCATCTTTCAATGCAGTTGTATCATTAAGAGTTCAAAATTCATTGTTTAAATTTTGAACCAGCCTGATGTGTTGACTTCATGGCTCCTATCGTACCATTTTGGGCCATAATAGGATGCCTAGGCCTGTTATCATTATTTTTTTCACCCGCTCGCTCCATTATTTCTCTAGAAAAGTCCATCAACCAATTAACAAATCAAATTGGTGTGGCCTCAGCAAATAGTAAAAGAAATGTAGCTAGTGACACACCCCATAGGACTGCT